TCTCTCTCTCTCCTCTCTGTCTCTCGTCTTTCCGTCTCTCTTCTCTCGCAGGAGGATCCGGGCAAAGAGCCACATATAAAGGACTCTTCACCCCTGCCTCCAAAAAGAGCGCCGTGTTTTTTCCTACCTCGCTGCCCTCCACTTTCCCATTCTGGAGCGCTAGCTTTCGCCCCCCCCTTGGCCTCAAGTATATATATATATATATAAATTAAACCATATATTATCGATATAAGCTAAAATTATTATTAATATAAAATATCATAAATGATTTTAAATTTATTTCATTGATGTACAAATATTTCGATTTATGAATACATATTATTCAATGAATATTTTTCTAATATTTCCATAGATCTGTTTTTTTCATGTTTTTTTCCGTATCGCATTCATTTTCCCAATCTGATTACAGCCTTTACAATTCATCTATACAAGGATTGATGGCTCGCACGCACCGTCGTCGATCACAGAATGCTGACATGTTCACCAATCGCGGTCGAACTGCGCCCGGTTTTCGCTGGGCCAAGGAGGTGAAATTCATGGGCCAGGCCAAGTGCGTCGGTGCATGCTCGCACGATTTTGACAGAAAAAAACTGCTATTCCAGCCAGAAAAAACCTGCACACTTAGTTCACAGGAGTGATGGTAAAGTTCGTTCTCCCCTAAACGCTACTTTCAGAATTCTCCTTTCTAGATTCTAACATCCTTGTTCACCTGCAAAATTGGATTAGCTGATGGCTATATAATATAGCAATCCCTTTCAGTATGGAAAAGCAGGGCCGGCCACAAAGGGCGGTCTTCAGCGCAGAAGGGTGCCGCGCTGCACACTGCACCTTTGGGCCATGCGAAGAACGTGACTCTTGCCCAGAAGAACAAAGGGCAGCTGCTCATTGTAAACTTGGTGCATTGACTGCTCAAGTGGAGCAGCTGTTTTGATCTTGGCGAACGGCTAACGGTCAACGGTGATTGTATGCAGATGGATTAAAAGGGAAAGACTGAACGCTTGATGTTCAGTCTCAGTTTCCAAACACGGCCACTTCCATCGAGCCATGAAAATGCCTGTCTCCGATGGAACTTGAACTGCGGGGACATGACACATACTGTTGCCATCAAAGTATGGCTTTGGAACAACGGACCCATTTGTGCTTATACAGCCGTCCGATGATCCAAACTAGCTCAGCAACTGAAACGGGGTGAAACCAAAACTCCTCGTGCGAGTTTTTACGGTCATGGCAGGACCGACCGAAGAAAGAGCTCAAAGAGCCCTCGGGGGGCAAGACGACTTCACTCGCAAAGGAAGTCCACGAGAGAAACCAGTTTGATCAACTGTGGATGCCTGGAAATAACCCTCAAACTGTGGATGCCTGGAGGCACGACAATGCAATCCGGACGTCAATAACGGTCTAGATGGAGGCAATCTACTTGGTGAAGTCAAGACATTCAAAAGAAACTTGGGTCTATGAAGCTCTTGAGGAAAAGACATCATGTTCAAAGCAATTCAAGTTGCAATAGAGCTAGACATTTACATGATGTTGATATGCAACTGGACTGGCAGTCTCCAAAGCTATGTCAAATGCCAGAACTTCAAAAAATCTGAGAGGAGACCCACGACCACGACCAGCGTAGGCGGAGACAAAGGCTGCTAACGCGTCCACACCCGTCTCATCCCCTCCCCTCGTTCGGTGTCCCGTCCTTGCAGATCATTGGGGCCACCGCTCCGTCGCGGCTCCGTCGCGCCTCTTGCGTCGGCGCTCATCGTACTTCAAGCGGAGCCGCTCGGAGCGCACCTCCTCCCGGCTGCAATAGTGGCAAAACCTTCGCGTCGCGCGGCCCGATCACATCGACCCGTCGGCGCAAAAACACCCAAACGAAACGTCCGGGTTTGGCCGACGAGCGGCTTGCAACGATCACCAAAGTTGCAGCCTTCGTTCTTGAGTTGGAAGAAGCGACATGGTTTGCAGGTTCCATTCACCTCACTTCGCGCGGCGAACGCATCACACTACAACCCGAAAAGCCAGTTTCGTGTGCAGCTGGGAGACGTGTGCGGCCAGTGAGCAACTCATGAAGGCCAGAGAATGGTCATCGTGCTCGATGCCAAACCCGCTTGGGCCACGTAGGATGGTGGAGTTTGAGTCTGCTGAGCCTAGGGTGAGCGTTGGGGTGTTCAGTTCCTCTACCCAAGCCAGCATCCCAAAGCGACTTCACGTGCATACCAGTCCCGCACTTGGAGTTGAACCACTTAAAGAAGGGGAAAGACTCGCCTATTAACGCGGTGCAATTTTTCAGCCACAAAAACACATAAACACACAGCAAATTGCAGCAAGTCAAGTCAAGGAACTACCGCTCTTCTTTGTTGATTGTGGAGCATCGGTCGATTCACTTGAACCACTCATGGATGGCTTGCGGGATTTTTGCTCCTGAGCTCGAACGGCACAGCTCAGAAGGCCTATCCCGGATGAACCTATCGCGCAGTCCGTCCGCCGAGCCACGTTTCACCTACACATCGCCAGTCCCCCACGCCGTCCCTGCAGTCCTGTACCTCTGCGCTATCACCTGTAGATCCAGGCTCTGTACTCCGCGCGTCGCTCGCGTTGGTGACCTGTGAGCAAGAAGCGGTGTGACATCAAAAAGACATCCTATCCAACCGAAGAAATCTTTATCACCTTGATGGTAGGAGACTGGGTGTTTGTTTCCAACATAGATAGCCCCCTATAGAGCCGCTGTTTCTGGTGCCCTCAAGCTCGTGATGATGCTAGCTTTTTCTCCAATTGCTCCCTGTTGCTTTTCCTTTACTTCCCTAGCGGGTGCAAGGATCTCATCAAAGTCAGGTTGGGACCATCATTGGGACCATCCCCGATTTACACAAAGTGAAGCACTGATGGTCGACTCTCACTTCATTCGCCCAAGTGGCTAAAAGGCCCTGCGTCTTGGTGCCGGTGTCCACGCTTCCCACGAACTTCAGCCAAACTGGGGGCTTCCCATCAACCTCAGCACTACAGAAACGGATCTATGCAAAGGAATCGCTTCCACTTCAGGAAAACGTGGTCTCAAGAAGAACCGAAAGTTTCACCGAAACAACCCTGGACGTTTCACCGAAAGTCCTCTCATTAGAACCTCCGACCAAGGCCCCCAGAATTCCGCCAACCCCAGTCAAGTTGCTCGGCTGTCGCTCCTGCGCTCCTGAGACCCCTCGACGTTCTCACGCACCCTGGGCGTCGGTTGCGGCGTGCCCAAATCCACGGCCAGCAACGCATCGTCGATCTGCACGAAAACGAAGTGTCCCGGCGCCGTCATCGAGACACCGGGGAACTCCTTCGACGATGGATACGGAACTGGATGGTGCCTACACAGCACCGAAACGTGGATCGCTGCAAAGCCTGACGTTGCTCTTGGTGTTTGAATCCGCAGCTTTTCGTTAAGGGTTCATAAGGATTTTTACTAAAATGATATAAAGACGGCTTCGGCAGCGATCTTGGGTGGAGCAAATCTTTTGAGCCCAACAGCGGACAGGATGAGCTTTTGCTTCCTGTGGGCTTCTTCAGCTCATCAAGTTGTCTTTTCGTTCACACTCGACACCAAGTTGAAGACCTCAACATGTTTACTCATGTTTTTCTGCACAAACGATTCGACCAAAACTGCACCGTGGCTCAACCGTCTCAGCTCGACCGGCCCTTTTATGCCACGACTGCCATGAAGATCGCAGCTTGTGACCTGTGAAGAGTGAAGAGCGACGAATTTGAATTGGGACGAACGCATTGACCCAAACTAGAAGCGGCCTCCAACCTACATGTTTTGAGGAACCCCATGAAAGGAGAGGAGAGTTCTTACTACCCACACCACCCAAGACACTCGCGCGGCGCACGGTGTTTTCGCATGCCGCGAAGCGGAAAAAATGAACAAGTAACACTTTGGCAACTCTTCTTCCACCTAAAACAAGTAGTAGTAACAAGAAACTAGTAGAAACAAGTGCATCGCTACTAGTAACAAGTGCCTTACTAGTAGTAACAAGGACGCTACTAGGAACAAACTTCCACCTGGGAATGATTTGGAGATATTTGGAGGCTCCCATCACCCCCCCTAGACTCGCCCCCCGCTCCGCTGTCGGAGTCGAAGCAGTGGTGCTTCGCACCCTCCATGCCGTCCACGATGGCCCGGGCCGGTTCGATTCGACAGCATCTCTTATGTACAAAGGACTACTGAGGCACTACAAATCCTTCCTCTCTTGGAATCCGCCCCTTTGGGCCCTTCCACTCTTCCAGGTCGAGTGGCTTTCCGCTCTCTCCTTGCAGCTGATGTGCACATGGAGCAACCAGGGCCAGTGCACAAGGCACAAGGTTCTCTTCAGAGCCTACAGAGAGAAGGGTTCTGTGAGTGATCAGTGTTGATGCTATGCTCAAGACTCAAGACGGAAACGGTTGTCAACAATCCTCTACTTCTACATGAGAAACTCCCTACGAGGACTTAGAGAATATGGCAGACAAGTCAGAGAACGTTTTCGGACAAGTTCCGGACGAGTGCAACACGCCATGTGATGGCGTAGGTTTAGATCCTTTATCAAAACCCAGGCTGGCAGGTGTGATTCCTGTCATTTTCTGGAGTTGAAGTATATATGAGGGACGGTCTGCCCCTCTTGACTAAAGTCGTCTTCGCATGTTTTGACCATATCTCATATAAGTGGGTTCCTGGACATTGGGGCAACAAACGTGAGAACGTTGCAAGCGACTCATGCCGGTGCCCCTGACGTGAGGTTCCGTTGCAAGCACATGCAGCCTCAATAAAGCACGCTTACAAGAGTTTTGAGGGATCATTGTCAGGTTTGTTGGATGTGTCAATGCTGAATGGCTCACATGCTCATAGCTCGAATGCTCTCCGATCTCGAAAAGCCCCAGCAAACCTGTTCAGCTCGACTAGGGTGAGTTTTTATTTGCAAAGACATCAGGAAACGCTGGTTGGCAGCAAATTTTGCCTTGCCACTAATGCCAAAGCTCATGTTCACTTACTGAACGACATGTTACATCCTTCCATTTGTCACGTCATCATTTTGTAATCTTATGTTATTTCTATATTTTTAGAGTTGCCATATCATATGTCACTCTCATATTCCATTTGTCATATGTCATCTATTCACTTTCTCATACGAGATCACCAAGGCTCCCCGAGGTCACGGGTGACCCCGGAGAACGAGGTCATATTGGGCATTGATCAGATGAGGCATCCTTTCTAGAGACCGGCTTGGCATGCAATTCGTCCGTCCAAATGTTGGGAGATATCTGCTGGAGGTTGCAAGAAAGTCATCTTGCCGAGTCACGGCACTTCATATGCTGAAAAACTGGGCCATGTGAAGGTTCGGCGCATGGCAAAATGAGCCCACGAGACATGGCCACCAGTGCAGGTCACCAGTCGAACATGGCCACGTTGCGTGCCACAAGGGCAGCCTGGAACGAATCACGTAACAGCTGCACCAACCAGGCAGCTTGGGACGGGCTTAGCCTGCCAAACCAGCAACTCGTTTGATGAAGAAGCGACGGAAGTCATGGTGCAGAACTGACGCCGCTACCTGGTACTCGATCATGTGGAAAAAAATCGACGTTTGTCCCGTGCTCCGCGAGATGAGACGGACGTTCACGGGGCGATGACGGGTCCAAAGAACAAACGTTCGCGGCCGCCGGCCCGTGTGGCTTTCCCCTTCGCATGCTCGTAGTCAAACAAAGCACGGCAAACATGGAGTGTCACGTGCCTCCGTCAGCTCCTCAGAGACTGTGTTGATCGGATGGCCTGAATGGACAACGTGTGCATGCCAAGGATCAGCTCTAGTTGTGATGGCTTCTAGGTTGGAGGCCGTCTCTTAGGTTGGAGGCCGGCCATTGCTATTAGGTTTGTTTTCCGGCACACGTCACTGCAACTGGGCACGGCACGTGCCCCCGTCGCGTTGTATCCACGGACAGCGTCGCGCATCAGCTGGGCACTCTTTCGCAACTCAAACCTTTTTCATCGAAACGGTGCCCCTTTCGCCTGCTTTCCGGCAAACTTGGGGTCACTAAAAGCAGCCGCAGGGAAAACCAGCTTGGAGACCAGATCTCAGAACCTGCTGGAATGATGGTCACTGCTTCGATCTGTTCCAACTCTTTGCAAGGACGATGATTCTTACTTCCCACCAAAAACCGATCCCTTTGGCATTGTTCTTCGACCGTGGGGATTGGACTGATTCATGATGGGGGCAGGTGCCATTTTCCAGCAACAAGCTAAACATCCTGCTGGCCGCACAAGCGCAGGCCTCTGCACACGCACCAGCACCAAGTTCAGCCCAAAACTTTTTTGCGCTTCCCAGACTTGCTGGTCATGTTGCCGCCTAATGTGATTTGAAGGGGGCCAGGCGGCCATACCGATACAATTGCAAACACACTTAGATTCATAGCTCAAATGAATGAGCATAAGTTTCAGTGAGTGATTCACCGCTGCATTAGCATTGAACATCAAGTCACCGGCTGCTACGGTAAATTGGGGCAACAGCTTGATCAAACACCGGGATGATCAGTCCCTGCTTCCCACTCTCGTCCACAGTTTCATTGCGTGTGGTAGGACGAAGAGTGGCACACGCCCCTGCTCTATTGGACAGTGATATCTCTTGGAAACAAAGGTGCACACACACACACACACTATACACCTTCCCTTCGCACAAACGACATTTTATCTTGGTTCAGCTAGCCTGTCTGGAACCGCAAAATGGTACCGGAACGTCGCCCAAACAGCCACGCTGGCCACGCAACACAAGCTTCTCGTGGGAATCCAGCTGCTGAAAACACACAGCGCCTAAAAACCTAAGGACTGACTGCAACTCGTGGCTGTTCTGCTGGAGCAAAGCTGTCACACTGCGGGCGGTCAACCCACAGCCAGGCCTAGACACGGTGTCATCCACCGCATCAATTGGATGAAAGTTGTCGCTCCATTCACCTGCTTTGATGTCGCTCCTGTGCGCTCCAAAAAAATTCGGAGCCACGCTGCTTCGCTCCTGTGAGCGAAGCCCGTCGAGGCGGTTTAGTGGACCAAAGCTCTTTGATCCCCACGTAGAACATGTATTGGACATCGTGCCGCTATGGATTTGGGGATCACTAGATCATCTTGATGTATATAACTTGTGTTCTGACCGGTCTCCGTGCTAACAAACGGGTGCAGTTCTAAGTTCTATTTTGTGTTCCTTCACGACGCCTCACCGGATGCTGTGGGCAGTTTGGCGGCACAAAGGGCATCTTCGCCCCACCTGCTCGTGCTGCTCAGGCCTATCCAGCCAGTCACCCATGCATGTGCCACAAAACAAAAGCCGGCCACAACAGTTCAAGGCAAAGATCGCCTCAGAGCAAAGGCAAATCACACATGGATCCTCTAGCTCCTCATGAAAAACCAAATGCTCCAGACGCGGCTCATCTTCATCAGATGCGTCTGCCGTGTAGGGCTGCACATCATTTGTTCGCTCATCAGTCAGGTCCCAATCACTCACCGTGCCAGTGATGTGGGAGAGGAAGCCATCCAAGTAGCAAATCTTCACACGCCCCTCCAAGCGCGGATCTGCCACCAGTCCGTGATAAGCTGAGTTGCAGCCCGCTCTCCAACACCAAATCTCCACCCTCCATCCTTGGGTGGCCACACACTCCACAGTGTCTACCAGTCGTCCATCAGCTGTACACAATGCTAGGACCTCTCGCCGTCGATCGCCGCTCCTCTCCAAATTCTTCACATGCTCATGCAGGCAGGCAGCAACTGGAAGTTTCCACTCCACCCAATAGCCAGACTGATTCCAAAAGCGCCACATCGAAGCTTCGCCTCTTCGTTCAAGGTCGCCAATCACACGAAGACTCACTCGCTTCACACCTGCAACCACTTCTGAAAAGCGGGCAATGCGAAGTCGGTGGTCGCTACCCCAGGTCTGACAGCCAGCAATACTCGAGTTGTCCACAAAGATGCTGAGATGTTGCTGTGCCTCCTGGCCATCGAAGACGCCCAAACCGGTCAAGCGAACACGAACACCAAAGACTCCCAAAAAACAAAGACTCGGCTGGCATAGATCCCAAACAGTGTCAGCGATAAATATGTTTAAGCGTCAACTCCTTGAATTCCACACCTATAGCCTCCAGCTGTTTGGGAACGGCACGTGCACAAAAACGGTTTGAAAACAATAGTTCCTGATGCCCGAGTCACATGTGAAAAACGAAGGGACATACATGCCAAGAGAAAATCCGAGGATGATATCAAACCTGAAACACTGCATCACTGTTGCATTCATAGCCACAAAAACATATCAGCGTCTGCCATGCCAAGCAAAGGACATGATTCAGCAAGGTTATCGCTTTTGAGGGGGCCTATAGGGCCTATCGCTTTTGCATGCTTTAGCCTTCCTGAAATTCACGACCTCTCTTTACCAAATTAAACTATATAGTGTATATATCTGGACAAGGCGGTGGATAAAGAAAAAGCGGCCAAGCAGCGGAAGGCCCAGACAAGGCTGTGGCAAAAGGGCCGACAACGTGGACAAGCAGGACAAACAAACGACACCGTAGGGAGGACGCAGAGTTTGCCAGCGCAGCCACAGAACAGCAGGAGGACGAGGACAAGAGGGGGGCACAGGGCTGGACAAGAAGAGGGCAACAGGACAACACCAGACGCAAGGTTGACCGGGCGTGGCCAGAGAGTGTGGCCAGTGTTTTTTCGTCAGAGAACCCCAACGGTAAACTGTGGAAGAGGACGCCAGGAAGACAAGAGAAGGACAGCAAGAAATGAGGAGGACAAGACGAGGACACCAGGAGGACAAGAGGAAGCACCACCAGGACAAGAGAAGGAACCAGGCGGACAAGAAGAGGACACCAGGACAAGAGAAGGAAACCAGGAGGACAAAAGGAGGACACTGGCCTGGCCAGCGCGGCCAGAGGACAACAGCAGAACAACTGCCAGGAGGATAAGAAGAAGACAAGAGAAAAGAACCAAGAGAACGTTGGCCCAGAGCGGGACAACAGCAGAACAACTGCAAGCCCCAGGCCCCAGGAGGACAAGATGACACCAGGAGGACAAGAGAAGGTGACAAAGAAGACAAGGGAAAGAAACCAGGAGGACACAAGAAGAGGACACCAGAAGGACAAGAAGAGGACACAAGGTTGGCCAGCACGGCCAAAGGACAACACCGGGACAATTGAAGGCACCAGGAGGACAAGAGGAGGACAAAACCCAGACATAGGGGCCAAAGACTGTGGCCAGCGTCTTTTCCTAAGATCCTAAGAGAGAACCCCAACAGTAAACTGTTAGGAGGAAACCGTTCAATAAACAACACACACACACACCAAGGACGCTACTAGGAGCAAAGGGCATCGCTACTAGGAACAAGGACGCTACTAGTGGCTCCTGGCCTTACTACTAGGAACAAAGACGCTACTAGGAGCTTTTTCGCGCGCGAAAAAGGGCAAAATCCCGCGAATCCCGTTCAGACATTCCAAATGCACCGAATCCAAGTCCATCGACCGACTCCTTCCGCTGCCGGAAGTAACCCGTCTCCTCGGCCAGCTGTAGTTCCGGCAAGCTGAGACCCGGTGGCCTGGAGGAAAAACATGCTTCGACAGCAGAACAACGCGTCGGTCGTTCTGCGCCGAGCAACACTGCGGCAGGATCAACGACGTGAGAAACTCTCATCTCGAACGCTTCAACGCTCCCCTGTATTGGATCAGGAGTCATCTTTTTGGATGAGCTTGGGGCTTTGCAAGGTTTCGGGGCCAATTCTGCAGCTCATATACTGATGGTCACCCGACGGACATCCGCATGTTCCAGCACATAAATGAATGTGGCCTATGAAAATGAGGTCTGGCACCATCCCACCCTTCTCACCTCACCAAAACGGCCAGAACAAACAGAACAAACAGCCTCCTTCGGAAGGAGTGCAAGTGCAACGTGAGGATCTCTTCGGCGCGTCTCACGGCACCCGATACACCTCGAATCTCCACGGATGCGGCTCCGTGCTGCGAAGCATTGTGCAAGACGTTGATCTCAGGGTGCGCATGAGAACTCAGCACCGCTTTCAACATGGCTTTCCAGTCTGATGTCGCCCAACGGCTCCTGTTTCATGTGGCCAACAGAAAAACCTCAAACCGCTTTCGGGACCTGTCGACCTGTCGGGCCAAGCCTCGACACCCAGGTCTCGGACGAACATCTTCAGGACAGCTTCATTGAGACCACGCAGAAGCTCCAGAGATGCCACGTCCACATCCATGGACACCTGAGTGCGTGTTTTCGACCCTGCTGACCGAGAGAAGCTGCCGAAACTCGGCGCGTTGCCGTGCCAATGCTTGGTTTTCAGACACCTAGGCACACCTCGTGCTCCCCCAAAACGCGAACCTAGTCGTCAGCAGCTCGGCACTGAACAAGGAATACCCACACACCAGAAACATCACAACCATCCCAACACTTCTGGTTGATGGCAGGGCCCACGAAAGCCAGTGACAAAGCATATCTAGCGCCATCATGGAGCCAAATAAGCAGATCCCGCACCACCAAAAGCAAGCAAGCAATGCCAACAATGCATCACAGGCATGACCGCGATCTTGGTGTGATCGACGATCGAGATGAAACACATGACTAGCTAGACTCTGGTGCGTTTTGGACAGGTCAGATATGCTTCGCAAACACGTGTCTTCACCAATTGGGACAACTCTGCTAGTTTGCCATCCTGAGAGCACCTCTCCACTGGCACGGTCCTGAAAGTGACCAGTATCGTCTTGGTCTGAGTCATTCTAAGTCAACGTAGAGAGCTTGATGGCGCGAACGAGTGCACAGTCAGAAAAGGGCAATCCATGAGACTTCAGTTCATGGCAAGTAAACAATGGACCTACCTACTTGATGAACTAAGCATGAGCACGTGCAAACTTCACAACATGTAGAATGAGTAGCGACCAGAACAAGTTCACCCTCGAAGACTTTGTCCTCGCCACCCTCCTGCTTTTGTGTCGTGCTGTGAGGAGGAGAAGTCTTTGTCGAGCCATGGTTGAGCTTGCCCTCATTCTAACTTTCCAAGTGGCATGGGATTTCAATCCGGTCTGGGTACTCAGGATATCTAATCAAGAGAAGTGGACATGGCATGGATTGTGCTAAGCCAATCAATTGGGGGATTGGGGGAAAACCAAATGTGGCAGTTTCCGACGGTCACACAAATAGCGGCGTACTGACGCAACAAAGACAGTTGGGAAGACATGGCCTGAATAGGGCTAGCTGAGGCCCTCCCTGACCATCCCAGGGAATTCCACAAGGAATGAACTTGGCGGCCCTGTGTTACCAGAGTTACGAAAGCAAACACCCTGAAGGACGATGAACGCTTCCGGGGCTGTCTTGCTGTGACAGTTGACGGCCTAGGGCCGCCGCAGCGCGCGGGAACGCGGCCACCCAAAGCTGGGATTTACAGGAGAGCATCGAGGCTAGGATGGAATATTCCAATGATAGGGAGAAAGCGAGAGTGGTCGAAAGTATTTATCGATATTTCATGATATTTCTATCGATTTGAAGCGACCAACCACCAGTTGCAAGCTGGAGACGTGCTCTTCTTGACTGTGGAAAGCAAGCCGCGCAATCTCAGAGTAGAGCAACTCTGTCATCCGCAGCTGCATTTCCTGGCGCTTGCGACCAAATGCGGCTACGCCAGCAAGTTGGGCGTGCGCCAAGCCAAACTGGGCAATGGCCCAGGGATAGAAAAGTGAACGTCCTTTTGCAACATGTGCCGGACATGACTTCTACATGTTGGGCGACCACTCCAGGATGGTCAAACAATTCTCTCGGCAAGAAGCCCGAAACAGTGTGTGTGAGGTCTAGAGGTTGGGGTCCAGAGAGGTGATGGTGGTGATGAAGGTGGAGATCGTGATGATGGTGGCGGTGGTGGTGACTGAGTGACCTGTTAGTGAGTGTGAGTGTGAGTGTGAGTGAGTGAGGGTGAGAGTGCGCCTGCCACCAAATCTGTACTTCGAGGTTGACAAAGTGCTGCAACTGCCACGAAATTTGCATTCTGAGGCTCACAAAGAGCTGCGCCTGCCACAAAATCTGCACTTCGAGGTTCACAAAGTGCCGTGCCTGCCACGAAATCTGCACTTCGAAGTGCACAAAGTGCTGCGACTGCCACGAAATTTGCATTCTGAGGCTCACAAAGCGCTGCGCCTGCCTCGACATCGGCCACGAAATCTGCACTTCAGGGCTCACAAAATGCTGCGACTGTCGCGAAATCTGCACTTCGAGCTTCACAAAGTGCCACGAAATCTGCACTTCGAGATTCACAAAATGCTGTACCTGCCACGAAATCTGCACTTCAAGGTTCACAAAGCGCTGTGCCTGCCACGAAATCTGCACTTCGAGGTT